CGAGGAGAACGGAGGACGGAGGACGAGGAGGAGGAGGTTGTTTTTGTTGGGGGAGTGGGGTGGGGGGGAAGCGGGGTGGGCGGAAGGAGCATGGAGAGTAGCTTGATATATCGCAAGATGACAGGCCGTCAGCTCAGTCTTTGTGAGAGAAAACCTGACCTTGAATAGCAGGACTCGTGAGATGGAGAAGACGTTGCGATGAAAGAGCAAGTATCCGACCCACGTAGCAAGTGGTACATGTGCTTGCATGCGTTTTCATTCCTGTAAACCTTGATCCGATCAGGGGCAAGGACGAGGAGGTTCTCCAGAGCCTAGTGTTCATCCGACCTCAAGCATGCACGGTCGAGGCCGTCGCGCTGGTCAAGGCAACGCTGCAGGTCTACGGGCTGAGCATCGTGAGCGAAGGCGAGATCCCTTACAGCTACATCCGAGCCAAGAGCATAGTCGATCGAGTCTACTGCAAGCGAGCTGAGATGTACCTGGAGACGTCGATAGGAACAAGTCTGATAGGTTGCCTCAGGTCCTGCCGGGCCGATATGGATGACGTCACTGCTGTAAACGTGGGGCTCTTTGCCTCCTCCTTCCACATGGAGTGGGAGGAAGCAGTCCGATCAGGACGAGTTCTGAGTGCGAGGAAGGCGATGGAGAGCTTGAAGTGCTCGCCCAAGATTTTGAACGACATGTGCAATCAGGTGAGGGAGGAGGAGGAGGAAGAGGAGGAGGAGGAGGAGGAGGAAGAGGAGGAGGAGGAAGAGGAGGAGGAGGAGGCCAGGGCAGTAAGACATGGTAGGGTAGAGGAGGGAGGAGGGATAGCGTAAGGACGGTAGAGACCTCCATGGTGTTGGGGATGAGGATGACGATGAGGATGGGGGAGGGGGTTGGGGGGTGGGGGGACGGCAGCATCGGGGAGTATTCACGGGAACTTGTCAGGCGGAGGAGGAGGGGAAGAAGGTCAGGCTGAACGAGCACTGCGATTGCTTCGCGATAGGCAGCGGCGCCAGCAGGACGTTTGTGGTCAACGGTCAGTTCCCGCACTTGTGCGAGGAATTTCTTGCTCCTGCAGCCGCCGTCAAGTTCTTCCGAGTCTGCTGGGCGCGCAGGCAGCTGAGCTGGAGGGAGTTCGATACCCAGGTGATCGGAGGAGGAGCTGAGGACAAGCTGGAGAAGGGGTCGATCCGAGAGATCTTCCTGAGAGACTGGAAGGAGCTGGGACTACCAGCCGCCCCCGCTGCAGATCTCGAGCTCGTCTTCGCCTCCTCGTCCTCCTGGGAGTTCCTGCGGGACAGGAGGCTGTGGCTGGGGGAGGACCTGGCAGGGGATGAGGACCGTCGGCTGTTGGTTGACAAGCTGTTTGCGGCCCGGGAGTTCGACCTGCTGCTGGAGAATCCTTTCTTCTTTGACCGCGGCGGCCGCGAAGTCTCCCTCCTCACCCTCGCTCGCCATCGAACGGCAGCGGAGCTGGTGGAGGCGATGCAGGATCGGGGGGAGGAAGTGCCTTGCGCCGCTGCCCTTCTCCTCCCTCCCTCCCACTCTGAGGACAAGCGCCTGATCCGGTGGATGCGCTCCTATGACGAGGCATCGTCTTCGAGGGTGGCCATGCTGGAGCGAGGATACGAGGAAGCGGTGGCGGAGGTTGAGGAGAGGAGCAGAGCGATGGAGCAGAAGGAGGAGGAGCAGCGAGAGCTGCTGGGGAGGCTGGAGCTACTGGGGAGGGAGCGGGAGCCTCTGGTCAGCAAGCTCCTGGATGCCCTGGAGGCCTATAGGATGGTAAGGAGGACGATGTTGGCGGAGGAGGAGGTCGGGATGGACTGCAGCGTGTCCCTGGTGGAGGATGCAAAGCTCGTGGCGTCCATCATGGAGGAGGTGAAGGAGGAGAGGAAGGAGGAGGAGAGGAGGAGGAGGGAGAAGGAGGAGGAGAACGCTCAGCTCACAGCCCAGCTGCAAGAGACTCGAGATTCGTTGGTCCGCATGGAGGAGAAAGTGAAACAGACAGCAAGGGAGCTGCTGGAGATGAAGGAGAAGTGCAACAAATGCCATGAGAAGAACGGTCAGTTATCCCCTCTCTCCTCTTATCCTCCTCCTCTCTTCCTTTCCTCCTCTCCTCTCCTCCCCTCCACCTCCTCCTCCTGCTCCTCCTGCTCCTCACTTTTTCTACAGAAGCTCTGGCAGCAGAAGTCGCCCGTCTCATCGGCTCGCTGCAGCAGCTACGAAAGGACTTCCAGGAGGAAGCGAACGAGCTGAGGGCGGAGGCGACGGCGCTGGCGCGGGAGGTGAACGGAGTTTTCCTACAGAAAGAGCAACTGGAGGAAGAGCGGTTGGCCATGATGCAGGACAAGCAGTTTCTGTCCTCTTGCCACTTGACTGTCGTAGAGGACGCGAAGATGCTGAGCATTCAGCTACAGGAGCTGAGGGAGGAAAGCGAGAAAGTGCGAGAGGGTAAGGAAAAGGAGGAGAAACGAAAGCAAGCAGCAGCAGCAGCAGAAGAAGAAGCAGCACATGAAGGAGCAAAAGGAGGAGAAGGGGGAGATGGGGGCGGAGGGAGATGGGAGGTGGGCGGGGAGCAGGAGCAGGAGAGCAGGAGCAGGAGAAGCAGCAGGAGGACGAGAAAGAGGACAAGACTTTGGTTAGCTGATTTTGTGATGTCAATGCAGGAAAGAAGAAAGCAGAAGAGCAGCTGGAAGAGCTCAGGGGCTCGCAGGTGAAGCTGGAGAAGGCAGCTGGGCGTCTGCTGAGGGCGATGAGGCCGGCGAGGGCAGGGGAGCAGGAGGAGCAAGACGACCAGACGTTGGCGCGGGAGCTGCTGAAGGAGCAGCGTCTTGACGAGATCTGTTCTGCATGCCAAGGACCGCCGGCAAGCAGCGATCAAGCGGCTAGACAAGAAGGAGCGAACAGCGGGGAGCAGGAAGCAAGACAGGAAGGAGCTGGGAGCGGGGAGGATGCGGAGAGATGGGTTGGGAAGCTCGAGAAACAGGTCGAGGAGCAGCAGGAGCAGAACGCACGGCTACTGAGGGAGCGAGAGCCGCTGATCGCCGAGCTGATCACCAGCATCGAGAGCTTCCGGCAGCTGGAGGCGGCGATCACAGGGGACGTGCTACAGTGCGCGGGGGTGGGGATGGTTCTGTTCAGGGAGGACGAGGAGTACGTGGTGAGGTCGATGGCGAGGGAGGGAGCGGCAGCGAGGAGCGAGCTGAGGCTGGGGGATGTGGTGGTGCGGGTGAACGAGGAGGAGATCAGAGGGAGGAGGAGCGAGGAGGTGAAGGACCTCGTGCTGGGCCCCGAGGGCTCGATGCTGGAGCTTCAAGTGCTGCGGTACCCATGCACGTCCTCCTTCCCCGTCCGCCTCATGAGGGGAAGGAGGGGCTGGGACCCGACGACGGTCCAGGAGGAGACTCGTAACCTGCTCGAAGTTCTCAGCTCTATGCGCGAAGTCTCGAGCCGCAAGGACAGAGAGCTGGCGGCGCTGAGAAAGAGAGTCGAGCAGCTGGAGTCTAGCCGGAGGAAACCCAAGACTCCTTCTCCTGCTCCTTCTGCGGCTCCTGCGGCTCCTGCACTTCCTCCTACTCCCTGGGGCATCCTGCTGACCGAGAAGGCCCCTTACAAGGTGACCTCGCTGGTCAAGGGAGGGCTGGCGGAGTCTCAGAAGCTGCTGCTGGTGGGAGATGTTCTCGTCATGGTGGAGGGAAAGAACGTCAGCAGGATGCTGTGCAAGGACCTGCGAGCTCTGCTGCGAGACCCGAGGAGGCAGAAGCTGAGCCTCGTGGTGGAGAGAAGGGGAGGAGGAGGAGGGGAAGGAGGAGGCGGAGGGGGAGGAGGAGGAGGAGAGGGAGCTACTGAACACCTTCAACTGGTACTTCTCCGCCAGCCGAAGGAGGAGGAGAGTGCAGGCAACAGTTAACAGGGTTTACATGAGATAGCTATACAACATCACTTGACATCGGGAGTGTCGGCTCGTTTCACTTTGTACAATCGGTGCATCTGAAGAACCATGTGAGGAGGAGGAGGAGGAGGAGAGCAGCAGGAGCAGGAGCAGGAGCAGGAGCAGGAGCAGGAGCAGGAGCAGGAGCAGGAGCAGGAGCAGGAGGGAGAGAGGGAGAAGATCCAGGAGAAGAAAGGGGAGGGCGGAAGTAGATGAGTGTGTGTAGGGGGGAGCAGACCTTGAGCTTGAGATCGTGGATTCTCTTATCGTGCAGCTGAATCTCCGCGATGATCCTCAGCCCGAGGTCATCGGTGAAGACAACGCAGAGGGTCAGGTCGCGGTAGCCGTCGGAGAGGTAGCCCGGGTCAAACTTGTTCTTGACCCGGCAGATCGGCATCCCTGTGTCAGGAGCTGAGAACCACCGGTACACCTCCAGCAGGTACTGCGGCCCCTCGCACACAACTGACACCCGGATCTGAGGGGAACCCGCCGGTCAGGGATGACATTTCTCAGCTCGTGGATGGGTAGGAGAGAGAGGAGGGTTGTTGAGGAAGCGAGGAGGAGGGGGTGAGGGAGAGGTGAAGGAGGATGGGGAGAGGAAGGGTGAGAAGGGTGGGGGAGGGGGGTAGGACTTCTCTCAGCTCACCGGGTCGAGGATGCGGGCGCAGTAGGGCCAGGAGCACTTGTACGCCTCGTTTGTGTACTTGGACAGCTTGTCGTGCATTCGTTCGCGCGTCTTGATGCGGCCGGGGAAGAGATCGACCGAGGAGACGCCGTCGGAGAACGCGCAGGTGAGGTGAACGACGCTGGAGAAGTCGGGAGGGGGGAGGTCCTGGATGGAGGAGTGCTGCATGAGGATCTGGTAGACCCTCTTCTTGAAGGGGAGGTCGAGCAGCTCTGCTCGGGTGTGGAGCTGAGAGACGAAGTTGGTTTCGTTGCTCATCAACAGCCCAGAGGTGGAGGAGTGAAAGAGGTTCTTGTGCTTCTGAAACTCCAGCTCCAGCAGGTCCTCCTCGCTCACGCGCACAGCCCCAATCTGCAGGAGGGATCAGGGGGGAGAAGGGCGCGAGGATCACAGAGCGAACAGGAAACAGAGACAGCCATGTGGCAGCAACATGGCAGGAAGCTTGTCAACAGAGACGCAGCTTGTTGCTCTGACTGTCAACTCACCGCCGGGGAGTCTTGACGGGTGTCGTCGTAGTTGCTCGTGAGGTATCCTGTCCTTGCGATCAGCTCCTTGCCGTAGGGGTCGCTATAGATCTCCATGTAGCGGATGTGGCAAAAGTGAGCGAGGATGTCGAGGAGCTTCTGAATGATGCCCTTGAGCTTGTGGAACAGATCCATCCCCTGCTCCTTCCACATGTTCATCTTCAGCACATTCTCCACGAAGAAGGCAAATCTTCTCTCGAAGTCATCGGTGAAGAGCTCAGAGCTCCTCAAGCTGGAAGCTATCTCCCCATCTTCGCTCGCTATGGAGCTCAGCTCGAGCGTCAGGTCGTACCCCTGGGGCTCCTGCTGGGCCTCATCGTTGTCATGGAAGGAGTTGGTGGGTCGGAGGAGCTTCTGACAGGTCTCCAGCACGAAGTCGTGCAGCAGCTTGCAGTGATCGTTGTGTATCACGTACTCTTCGTGACTCACTCCGTTGAGGTGCAGCTCCCCAGCATCCGAGCCCACCCCTGTGCTCAGCCTCCGCATGCTGAACCGAGACAGGCTCGGGGTCTCGCGCTTGTGCAGGCCGTCGCGGAGCTCGCTGAGAAACTCGTAGAGGGCGTCGACGTGCTTGGCCTCAAAGTCCTCGAAGAGCGAGAAGTGAGCGCATGCCTCCAGGAACCTGCGACAGACAAGCAGCTCAGTCAGTGCATCGCAGCTCAGTCAGCGCATCGCAGCTCAGGACGCCTCCGGCCTGCCGCTCACCTCTTCTCGATCGTCTGCACGCCTTTGCGCCTGTCGAAGAAGCCTTTCTTCTCAGAGTTGAGCAGGAACCCGTCTTCTTCAGTCAGGCACAGGCGATGCCGCACGTACTCGATCTGCTTGCGAAACCTCTTGGGCAGCCCGTCCGTCATGTTCTTGCGCCTCTGCACCAGCGAGTACCACAGGCCGAAGCTCATCAGGGAGCAGATGGCGAGGGCGGCAGCGAGAAGGGAGACGACGAGGATCATGCTGCTGTTGGACTGCGAGGCCCCCAGGGAGCAGATGGACCTGTTGATGTGGATCTGTCCTCCAGGCCACATAACCGCGTCTTGCAGCCACTTGTCGTAAGGCAGAGACTCTAGATAGATGGGATGGATCTCGTTGCTGTACCACCTTGCGATCTCCTTCCACCCTTCCTTCGCATAGTTGATGACCAGGTAGGAGCCGCCCAGCCTGTCCAGGTTCTGGTCGAAGGAGACAGCCCCGGATGCGCCATCGAAGCGAACGCTCCTGAGAGCATTCCTGACCTGAGTCCCGTCCAAGATGACATTCCCCTGTGACAACAAGTAGCCGATGGCATGCGCGATGGCGTAGATGGCATCATATGCAAACACGATGTAGATATGCTGCTGGCCTCTGTTGATCATCTCCTGCAGGCCTGACTTGAAATTCTGCTGCATGACGGTATCGTACCCTGACACATCCAACTGCTTCCAGAAGTTGATCATGGCGTCCAGCTGCGGGCTGGGATCAGGGATGTAGCTTCGGAGAGAAAGGATCCCCTTGGGCAGGAGGGATGGGTCGGCGGTGGAGACGTCTTCTCCTGCTATCCAGGTGAAGTTGGAGGTGAGGTTCAACTTGTTGAAGGCGATGAAGATCTCTTGAGCGATGTAGTAATGGATGCACAGAACGATCACTGTCGTGTTGCAGGTCTTGGTGGCAAAGTTCTGCATCAGTACAACTCCGTTGTTGTCAGCCACGAAGCTGCTCTCAGCCGTAGCAAGGACTAACTCGTCTGCTATCTTGACTGAGTTGGTCTTGACCCGGGACTTGAAGTTGTTCGCCAGGCCTTGGCAGTAAGAGTCATCACACGTGATCAGCTTGATCGAGGTAGCTTCTATGTAGGCCGTCAGATCCGCCAGCGCGATCGCCTCGACCGCGCTTGAGTAGCAGACTCGGGAGAAGAAAGGATAGAGAGCCTTGTTGGAGAACGCAGGGCTGGCAGCTGTGTGGCTCACCAGCAGCCGCTTGTCTTGCGTGAACATCGGCGAGAAGACTTCAACGTCGTTGCTGTACCCGACGCCAGCAGCAGCCATCACAGGAGCTGATCCAGGGGGCGGGTCAGTCAGGTTGTTCATGACGGCCTCGAAGAAGAAGGTCTTGAGGTAGTTCTGTGGTGGAATCGCTCTGACTGGCGTGATGTTTTGAAGTTGAAGGAACAGCTTGATCTGAGGCAGGAGCGTCACGTTGCGATTGATCCTCTCGATCGCCACCAGGGCGGCTGCCGCATGCTCCCTGGACCAGTACTGGAAGATCCCCCCGACGTTGATGTACGACTCCGGCTTTCCGTTGAGGATGGATTGAAGCTGCTGCCCGTCCACCTGCACTCCAGCTGTGCTCGTCCATACACCGAGGCTGAAGAACTTCTGCCCGGACTTGCTGTTGATAACAAATCTGCACTAGAGCTTCAGACATTTTGTCAACAACATTTTACCTTACCTGGTGACTCCAAGATCGTTGTTGGAGTTGAACGAAATGTAGCCGCTGGCTCCTTCAAACTTCACCTGGCTTAACGCCCCCAGCATTGCCGTCGAGTTCCATGCCTGCTCAGCATCACTCCTCACCACCACATCCAATGCGTGTGCGACTGCGTAAACAGCATCGTATGCCGCTGATATGTACACATTGCTTGCGAGTTGTTCCAACCCCGGGTATGAACTGCTGGGCAGCGACGTCCACACACTCTGCAACTTCTGGAAGGCAGCAGTCGTCGTGTTGGCTTGGTAAGAGATTCCGATGTATGAGTCCGGGAGATGCTTGGCGTTCAGCGGCACGTCAAAGTCAGTGCTGAGCCAGGAGTACTCGTCGGATACTTGTATCAGCTCAACTTCGTTGAAGAAGGCGATCTTGGACCCAGTCGACATGAAAAGAAAGACGTTGGTTGAAAGCATTGAGAGCCTTGAGAAATTTCTAACCAATACCTTCAGTTCCGTCTCGTTCCCAAAGTTCCAAGTGTAATTCTTTTCGATCCTGACCTTCCCAAGAACAGCGGCCTGGAACGATTGTGAAATATCAGAGTAGGCATGAGAATTCTCGACAATGATCTGGCAGCTGCGGATCTTCAACAACTCTGCGATGTCTGCCAATGCCTTTCCTGAGTCGGCAACAGAAGGGCAAACTCTCGAGTACAGAGGATACAAAGACTTGTCTGAGAACGCCGTGTCATCGCTACTGTACCCCATCAGCAATACACCGTGCGAGTCCAATATCCTGGTCACCATCTTAGTTTCATTGGTGAATGCTGGTCCGATCATTGCAACAGGTTTACTTCGATTGATCTCCTGCTCTATTGTTGATCTCAACAGATTCTCCTTGACAGCAGCGATGGATTGTGTCGAGACATTGCTGATTGTACACAAGGACTCTGCGATAGAAGTGTCGACAAGATTCAGAGTCAACTTGACGCCGGATAGGATGGTCGAGTCTCCGTTGATGTTCAGAACAGCAATCCTTGCTGCGGACAATGCCTCGTTCTCCCAATACCGACCACCAAGCTCAGTGGCGAATAAACCCCCGATGGAGATGTTGCTGCCATAGCACGTTGGGGGGTTGAGAGCCAGGGAAGTGACGACGAGCAGCAGAATCAGAGATACTGACATCTTGAAGTCTGTGATGGTAAAACACTACCGATGCAACAAGCTTCTGATAGCCTTACAACTCCTCAACAACATCCTCATGCCCTGACAAATCTCAAAGTTCGAGCCAGGAGCCTCGAAACCAGTGCTTGTGCCGTTAGCCAGAAGCTCAGTGAAGCATCCCCTCGTCCTTCACAGGATTCTTGCAGGGAACTGCAATGATGTCACAGTAGTCACAGCGCTGTCACATGTACGACTGTCATCCCGGCCTAATCAACTTCCACATGCAGACCCTCGTGTTGCTGAGGTGTTGCGCAGGAGGAAGTCCTCCGACGGCACTGAAGACAGCTCCGCCTACTGCTCTTCTCTATAGATGTAGTGAAGGATCTCCGAGGAGGTCAAGGTATGATGATTATCTCTGTTGCCTCGCTGATGAGAGTGAAAGTTTCCGCTCTTGTTCCGTCACCTGCGCCTTATTCATGAGTCAATCACAATCAATGTTTGAGCGCATTCGCTTTCTCCCTCTCCTCTAACAGCTGCTCGAGTTTCCGATCCTTCTTCATGCTTTCTAAACATATCTCTACCTTTCTTGCTCGGCATGTCTCACAATTCTTCTGCTTAAGAACTATCTGACTTCCCAATAAAATCCCAATTGCTGAATTTCCATGCCTATCATGTGGAAGAATCCAGCCCAGCATCTCATCGGACTAACTCTCATCATCTTTGCAGACGTTCTCGCTATCACATTGTCATCGCAACCTGCCCTTGCTGAGTCGTGCCCAACCTAACGATCAATCAATTCGCCCCTCGAACCTCAACATGCTGGACTATCGTGCAAGCATCATTCCACAACAGCAGGAGGGATCGAAGGACAGGTGGATGCAGAGACGATGGCGAACTCTGAGCGTCTTCTCTGCATCCCCAGGTCTGTCTGCATAGAATCGAGGCAATTCGACAGATGTCGCCATTCCGCTAGGATGTGCTGCTGGATTGCCCAACATTGCACCACAAGTGGGGTAGCAGTTTCCTGATGTCAATCTATGAGGGTGGGGTACCCATCAATAGCCTCGTAAAAGGGTGGTGAAAGAATGAAGTAGAGGGATTTTGATGGGTAGGGTATATTTGTGTCCATTTGACTCAGTAGGGTGGGGTCATGCAAAGTAAGTATAGGTAGGGCAAGGTTGGTATCATGCAGGGTGGGGTTGGCAAGGGGTGTATCCTGTAGTGAGGTGCCATGAAGCAGGGGTGGGCCTCGTAGGGGTAGTCAAATTCCTTGGAATGCGAGGGAGTGACAAAGGCAGATTGACCAATAATAGGGGGTAGGGGTGGAAGATGGAGGGTGGGGTGGGGTGAAGGAGATTTTCGGGGAGGGGTCACACCAGATCCAATGACCCCCCCAATTTACTGCCAAAGGATGGGGGGACATGGGAGGCCTTTAAGATATCGTCTGAGCCAAAATTACTACAAGGGGGATTTAAATAAATATTAATATTAGGAAAAGACTCTTTTTCAAACTTCACCTCAAATTGTCGACGAGGGATTGGGGATGGGAAGACATAGCAAGGTAGGATCAGTGCAGGGAGGGAGTTGGATCAGAATGGGAAGAGACGATGCTGAGTCGGAGAAGAAAGGAAGGGCAAGAGGAGAGAAAGATCATTCGGAGGAGTGTAGAACTAGGGGGGAGTCAGAGGAGGGAGTTGGAGAATCAGTAGGAAGGGAAAGAGTGTGAGTTTCCTAGGAGATAGAGCAGCTGGAGGAGAGCAAAACGAATATAGAGGTAGAGATGGGAAAGTTGAGACATTGATTGCTTCCTGATGCATTTCATTTACAAGACTTGAGTGAAAGTTCCAACCGTTCCCGACTGTGAGCAAGCCAGTGAGAACTAGCTAGAGGAGCATATGTCTCAAACCTGCGCTTGCATCCAACAAACGCGCGGGAGGATGCAGATTGGTTGTCCGACCTGAGCAGGGTTGAGGAAGGGAGGAGGTAATGAACGCTTACAGTCAGAAGGCCAGTGTTGTTCACGACAGGGACGTCCGGGTTTGCCTGGAGCATGAGACTGAGTTTTCGTGCTGCTCGTCTTCTCCTTCTCTCCTCCTCCCTCCCCTCCCCTCCTTTGTCTTCTCCTTGCCTCTCTTCTCCTCCATCCTGTGCCACCCGTTCTTTCTCTCTGCTCTCTCCTCCTCTCCTCTCTCCCCATTCAGTGACAGACCTCTAAGATGTTGGTCGAGCTGGTTCCAAAGCGGGAGGCTAGGAGGTCGAGTGTATCTCCTTAAACAGGAAGTCAGTTCCTCTCCTGTAGGGAGGGAGCGGGGAGCAGAAAGCAGCAGCGTGTCCAACAGCCCACCATGTCGGGTAATATAGGTTGGGCCGAGTCTCAGCTCAGTCCATGCGCCCACGCTGAGGGCTCAAGTGAGCGCAGAAGGAAGAGGGGGAAAGTGTAGGAGCGAGTATCATGCTGACGTCATCAAACGTCACCTGTCCGGGGTGAGGATCGCAGGGTTGGCCCCCCAGATCTGACGGGTGGGTGAGAACGACAGGAGGGCAGGAGGAGGAGGAGGAGGAGGAGGAGGAGGAGGGGGATGGGCGAACGAGTACCTGCAGCCAGTCGCTGTTGTACCTCGCAGCAGCTCCCATGATAGTCTAGTGGGACGAGGAGGTCAGATCGAGTGCTCACAAGCCATCTCGGACCCCTCCCTTATTCATTCTCCTGCTCCTGCTCCTGCTCCTGCTCCTGCTCCTGCTCCTGTCTCTTTCCCCTCCCCACTTCCTTCCTCCAGTTTCTTGCCTTAACCCCTTTGCATTCCCTCCCTCCCCTCTCTTCTTCCTCTTGTTGCTCCTCTCTCCCCCCCCTCTCCTGGCACTGCCTCGCCTTCCCTTCATGCTCTCACTTCGTTCCTCCATCACCCTCGCTCTCACCTCTCCTATCGACAAGCAGTATCGACATTTCTTCACCAGTACAGAGAAGCACAGCTCCTGCAGGTAGAGTCAGTGAATGTCCTGTTTCCCCGCTTCGCTCCAGTTTGGCTCTCTGCCCGCCGATGATATTCCCGCCCTGTTCATCGCCTCCCTCCTCTCTCCTCTCTCCCTCTCTCCCTCCCTTTCTTCCTCTCCTCTTCCTTCACCTTTCCTCTCTGCTGACAGAGATACCCGATACACACTGGCAGCAGCAGCATGAGTGGGATCAAACAGCTAGAGAAAGGCACCGGAGTCAAATGCATGCACGCAAAACGAGAAAGATCTCGTCTCCATCCCTCGACGAGGATACCTTCAGCCAGAATCAGCCAGCAACCCCCCGCTTCTTGTACTTCTAAGCAACCTTTAAGATATCAAACAAGCACCCTTTTTCAATATTCTTCAAGCGTCCTTCAGATGGGCATCCAACTCTGCTGATCGAGTCATATTACATCTTCACATTCATCCTATTCTAGTTCATACCTGCAATCCTCCGTTCACATTCACGCCTGCCCGCGCAAGCCGTCGAGCCGCAGGGTCGTGAGGTCTCGACAGTCCTGCCTCCTTCGACCAGGGAGAATTGGATCCCAAGTTCAAGATTGGTCTGCGAGACGTTCGCTGCTCGAGCTTCATGCGATTGTCTGACGGTCCC